TAGAGTTAACAAAGAATAAAGTCTTCACTTGAATTATGACTTTCTTGGCTCATCAGACGACTGGCTTGGTTCTGCAAAGGTCAAATAATCGGCTATCGATTGGCTCAAATGTAACTAACGCAGTGACTATCGCAAAAGATTGAGAAAATTAGCTCAGGAAAATAAAATGCAATATAGAGTAGTAAGTTTTCCGCGAAGCCATTTATAGGACTTCATGAAAAATTTCCGAAGCTTTTACCCCTCTAAAAAATTTTTCATCAGTTCCAATCTTTGAAAGAATGATGAATTGCATTGATATGAATTCATACAAAAGTCCATTCAAAAGATTCGCCTTTCAAAACTGGTCACATATTTGTTTTCCCCTTCTCTGTATCTCCACTCCAAGTCTTTTAAACCAGACTTTTCCTTCCGCGAATTCCTGAGCAAAAAAGGCAAAACCCAGGCTCAGCGCGGGGGCGGAGCTTGGAGGGTTGCCAGATCCTTCTTGGCACGCAGCCAGATCCTCCCCTTTCCCTCTGGGATACAGGGGTCAAGAGCTCTGGTTCCTCCTGCACCGCCGGCGGTTTGCATCTCTGACTGCTGGCAATCTGTAGGCAACTTGCAACAACTGCCAACATGCAGTAGCATATTGGCGGCATTGTGATGTCTGTCACCTTGAGCAGCATGTCGTTGCATGTCGCAACCTAGCCATGCGTGCCGTAGCCAGAGATGCAGACCAAAGGTAGCAGCGATCATGGAATGGACGATGCTGTGGTGGACGCGTCTATGAGCCTAATTAGCGTCGTATCGCTCATGACGCTGATCATGATCCTTCATTGCCAGGACCTTGATCCTCATATTATCTTACAGCTCATTGCTAGCAATTCTGCAAGCGAGGATCGCTACGATCTAGTCGGCAAAGGTATGCCCGATGCTTAACACAAATGCGGAGCGACCACATTGGGCGCACGTGCGCGGCAGACTAGTAACATATATTGTGGGAATCGCGTCGGCTGGAATCGCGGGAGCTATGCCTTGGGGTGGAGGGCGCGCAGGATCCTCCCAAGCCTCGCACCTCAAAGGGATGCCGCCTTCCAGTTTTGCACGTAGGTGACCCTAGGCGCGAAATGACTTGTTCAAACTTGTTCAGACAAGTATAACGCGCACGTGACACTGAGCAAGCTATAGAAGGCTGTGAATGAAATTTAAATCGAAGCATAGGTGAACAAAAGACTTACTCTTTATAACAAGCAATATAGGCTCACTAAGCTACGGAATAGAGGAAGAGCGATACGAGACAACCTCGAATACGTTTAAAGGCCGTGTAAAATGTGCACTTCAGATCATTCTATTTCTCAAGCTACTTTTTCTTATTGATGACTAGCTGGCTTAACCGGCTCCGCCGTATGTTCCGAATAGAAAATTCCATTTCTGAACCGATCGGGACCAAACTTGGCACACATACACTTCGGGCCCCGGCGGGTGTCACAGTCCACTTTTCGTTATCGAACGATGTCGATTTTATCGATTTTTTGCAAAATTTGAGCTAGGGGGCTGGAATTTGGCAGAAGCCCCCACGGGGGTGATCAGCATGCTCGATTACCCCCCTGTGCCAACTCTCAGCCGCTCAAATTTTGCAAAAAATCGATATCGATCGATGATGAAAAGTAGCCTATGACACCCGCCGGGGCCCGAAGTGTATGTGTGCCAAGTTTGGTCCCGATCGGTTCAGAAATGGAATTTTCTATTCGGAACATATAGGGGCCTGCAGGATCGCGAGAGTCGGACGTGCGTACGGCCATTGCGCCGCGCACGTCGTATGTCACTGGGTCGTACTCGATTTAGGCTGGATAGGAGAGATTTTTTTGTTTTTCTTCTCATTTCTCGCCTTCTTTTCTTTTCAGGCGGCGAACATACCCTCGATATCATCCCATATGTCTTTCCTCAACATGACGTGGATTACGTGGCTTGATGAGGCGCCGCCTCGCCTGGGGCTCGCGCCACGTTGCGAGCGCATCATTTGGCGCGACGTGGCGCTCAACACAACGTGGCGCAGGCTTTTCCACGTTCTTGTTGTTGCCACATCACGCCGAAAATGCGCACGCAACGTGGCGCAAGCCGAGGCGAGGCGGCGCCTCATCAAGCCACGTAATCCACGTCATGTTGAGGGAAGACATATGGGATGATATCGAGGGTATGTTGGTGCAGAGGAGTTTAAGATCTAGATTAAGGTGAGGTGCAGGATTATGCTCAATACGGGTCAATATTGTGGACTTTTCACCCCTGCTTTGAAGAATGTTGAGTTTTCTGTTCTGGCTGTCCGATTATGTTCGATTTTTCGTCCTGCCTGCCCGGTTACGAAACTCCGTTTTATTTGCAACGTCTGTTCTACCTCATCTTGCATCATGCGCGTCATCACAATCATAATCATTGTCATCATCATCATCATCATCACAAGCAATATGCAAGATAAGGTAGAATAGACGGTAGAAATAGAACAGTTTGCTGTAACAGAGCAGCCAGGACAGAAAATCCAACATCTCAACCAGCAGGCATGGAAGGTCTGCAATATTGAGTCCGTATTGAGCATAATCCTGCACCTCACCTTAATTCAGATCTTAAACTCCTCCGCACCAACATGTGCTCACCGTCTGAAAAGAAAAGAAGGCGTGAAATGTAAAAAAAAAACAAAAAAAACTTACCTATCTAGCCTTAATCGACTACGACCCAGCGATATCAGGCGTGCGCGGCGCAAAGGCCGTACGCGCGTCCGACTCTCGCGATCCTGCTCAGACACTGGGACCGGCTGAGCCGCGGCCTCAAAAGGCCTTTCCGGCCCGTCCGCGGCCTTAATTTGGGGGCGTGGCCGAAGACCGGCCCAGCCGCGGACCTTAGTTCATGTCGATATGATTGCACCGGCTGATCCGCGGATTGAATATGGCTTACCGGCCCAGCCGCGGACCGAATATGGCTTACCGGCCCAGCCGCGGACCTTAATTCATGTCGATATGATTGCACCGGCTGAGCCGCGGACCAAAATCTCTATTACGAAACACCGGCTGAGCCGCGGCCCATTTTCGGCTCGGCCGGTCCTAGTATCTGAGCGTAAAGAACACTTGCGTGATGTACGACGCATGCTCAGGCTGCCCTCAGTGTCCATAGCCTCCGTTGTCTTTCCAGTCTCCAAGGCAGGAACAAGACCATTATGTTGTACAACACCTGAATATGTTGTACAACAGCTGGATAGCACTTTGTGTTGTCCAATCTTGAAGCCGGACATGGTTTCCGAAGCGGCCATGTCTGTGGCCTCAATTTTTGTTTTTCACAGCGTATATTTTACGTGCCAGTAAATAAAAAAAACAGTCGTTTTGTATCCGAGCTAGAATGAACTAGATGGCCCGACAACCAGCTCCGGCTGAGCCGCGGCCGTTTTCCGGCTGAGCCGAGGCCGTTTTTCGGCTGAGCCGCGGACCATTCACCGGCTGGTCCGCGGACGCTGCGAAATTCCAGCCGGAAATGGGCCGCGGCTCGGCCGGTCCCAGTGTCTGAGCTGCAGGCCCCTATACGTACATACAGACATACAGACAAACAGACATTCAGCTTTATATATAAGATTTGTCTGAATCGTAAGTCTCAAAACAACCCAGACCTACTGAGAGTTATAATCAAAAGCTCACTGCTTGGTCATCTTAGAACAGCTTATGTAGAGAACAAACTATGGGACATCATAAAGTTTGCGTCTTCTTAGGCTACTTCGAGAAGACGAAGTGTCAAGACTCGCTCTTACTATTGAAAATCATGGTGCGTAATCATACTTGCGCTTCATACGTCGTAATACCTTGCGTGAAATCTACCTTCACACTGTTTAAACCAGACAAATATACTTGGGAGCAAACCTTACCTGCTCAAAACCTTCAAATAGGTTTTATTTAGGCAAAATATACTTTGAGCAATATAACCTTTTACTAAGCAGACAAGCCAACGGATTGAGGATCCGCGGATTACTTATCTGGGTGATGTGGACCCAAAGATTATGTAGGAATGACCACTTGAGATTTTAGATGACTAGAAATTGTGTGTATTCATACATAAAGCTCCCCAAGCTTCTAGCTCTTATATCTTGCTATTCGATTCAGCAACATAGATATCTTCATGTTTTAGTAAACTATTGCGAGTCTCTTATGGACTGATATAGGACGTTCAATTCTTCTCAGTTTCCACATAGCGAGTACGGAACTCTGTAATAGTTGGTATTACATGTCCGTACGTGTTAACCGTAAGCTCCCTCAATGGGTGGTCGCCTACGTGCATTTAGGAAAGGCGGCAAGCCTTGGGAGGATGATGACACGCCGCCGCCTTGGGGTGGGCTCGTAGATACTGGTCCGTATGTTCCGGAACAGTTCCAACTCAGCGTTTGATTTGTGCGCTATGCTGGGACTGTTCCGGAACTTAGGATCAGTGTGAATGGCAGAGTTCATGCGACATCGTCGTGATTATCGCGACAAGACAACTGTAATAATATCATTGCATGCCGATTTTCTTGCATTTCGATTTTGATTGTTTTCCGACACAACTAATCGTGGCTGACTACAAGCGAAATACAAGAAGATGGACAAGCAATGAACTCGTAACAGTTGTCTTGTCGGAAGAATCACGATGCGATGATGGCGAACTACGGGGCCTAACGCGAATTATAAGCAATCCTGTGTAAGTATTGCGGACAACAGGTTTTTTGTGTTTTTAATCGAGGGTACTTAGCGTTGTTATGCTTAGCTATCGAACTTTCCACAACTACTTCGGCAATGCGAAATTTTGAAACGTTCAAAGCAAAAATCTAGTTTTCGTGAAGAAAAGTTGAAAACAAGCAGTATGGAAAACTTGGGAACGACTACAAAGCAATAGTCAACAGTAAGTAATGCAATGAATTAAAGTACAACACATCCAACGTGAGGCGGCACGCGTTCACCAAAATACAAAACAAATGTCGATAATAAGAATCGAAGCACTGGAAGTTTGCATACCTGTTCCTCGGTGATCATATGGGTACTTTGAAGAAGAATTTCTAGGCATGGAGATATATAAAACTATATTTTTTGCAAGGACAGTTCAAAGCTTGAATCGTTTAGTGATTAACCGTGGAGCGCGACAGCATCAGCCAGATATCTAACATGTTGGGAACGGGTCATGATCAGGGTCAAGCAAGGGGTGTGGCACACGATTGCTGGTTACGACCCCCCCCCCCTGATTGCTGTCTTAATAAGACCCCCCCCCCCCCCCGAACTATATACCAAGATAGTACCAGAGTTGAGAAAGAGGTCAGGCACAAGTCTTTCGAAACCCCTCCCCCCCCCCCCATGAAAGCCCTCAAACGACCCCTTCTTCCTCCTCTTAACCTCTGGACCTCAAAGTGTGACATTCTGGAGGACACCATCTTTTTCTAGAAAGTTTTCAGATTTTTGAGAGCTGTACGCCCGATTTTCTGTGACTGCTACAATCACACGTAATTTGACGGCTGATTTTGATCTGAATGGGCACATTGAAAGGGCCATAATTTTCTTATGGGTGGGGAGTTCCGCTCCAAATTTCCACTGTAGCAAGAAGAAGCTGTGTGCTCAATACTCATACCAGCAATAAAGCGCTTTCTGGATTTTGAAGGCAAGTTAAGGGGGTGCGGCACACCCCCTTAAAAGCTGCGGCAGCCGCAGCTTTTAAAGGCACCGTCCACCCAAAATTTCGACCTCCATGTTTTTGCCGTTCCAGGGCCTTCTCATACCCCTGATTCCGAATATCGAATCGGTTTCCGCGAAAACCACGAAAAACCCCCGTTTTCAGAACCCGCAGAGCGATTTCTTCGGAACGGTGATTGGTTGGGCGCGCTCAAATGGGCGGGACGAACGTCACGCCCACCCGAAAGGGGAGGAGCCAACGTCGCGAACCGTCACCAAAGCGATTTCCGAAGCAATTTTCTCGCTTCGGAAGCAACTTTAGGCAGCGCGAGTTGGGCAATCGTACAGTTGGGGGCCCCGCAGCTGCTAGGTATCACAATCTTACCAACCCCAATTTGGGTGGACGGTGCCTTTAAGGGGGTGTGCTCACCCCATACTATATCAAAAAAAACATTTTACGGACAGTATTTATATGAGTCGATAGCCTAAACCTTGTAGATTCCATAGGACTGTTTGGATCATGATTTGTCTTCTTAGCTCTAAGTAATATTTGGTGAAAGCACAGCGATCAAAAGCGAAAAATGGGAAAAACGAGATTTTGGTTGGCTTCTAACTCCACAGTTTGCAGGTCTTCTGAAGCGGGATTCCTGAGGTGGACAAAGAAGGAGTAGTGCTTTGTCTTGAGTGCAAAAACGGATAGCTAATTCACCTTTGAAACAAAGTTAACCATGTTGGTTGACCATTTCATTTAGGTAGCCTATCTTGAGTCTTCAGAATCCGCTGACACTTTGTCTACAGGGGTTAATTGACATGCTAATTATGGATATGATACGAATATCATGTTATCATCTATTATCAGATTACCCAACTACGACCTCCTCCCCTTTTGACTCCTCAATACGACCGCCCAGGTGTGGCGTGCCGCACCCCACGCTTGACCCTGGTCATGATTCACAGTCTGCGCGGTAAAACCGAAGCGACATCGCAACGCGACGCCAACTAGTACGAGTGAGTTGCTATTAAAGGACTCATCGCTGACATGATTGGAGCGTGTCTGTCCTGGAGAAGCCACGATGTTCATCAACGAATAAGGTTACCTCAAATAGGATTTACCTCAAATAAAACTGTTATTCACCCGTATCCATCAAAGTGAAGGCCTACGACTTCGCACAATCTATTTGAAGGTACATTCGAACTGAAAGTGATGGCATTCAAGTTTTATACAATAGCGATGCCACTAACTAGACAATTATCGTCCCCTCCACAGCTGCTGCTACCCTTGGTCTGCATCTCAGACTCGCCAGTTGTGGCTGACATGTTAGTAACGTAGCAGCAACTTGTTTGCAACATGCAGCAACATGCTGACGTAGCCAAAATGTTCTGCCAACATATTGTGGCATGTTGCCAACATGTCAGCCACGCGAGGCAGGACTGAAACGCAGACCAAGGGTAGCAGCAACTGTAGAGGGGACGATATGTACCGCTGCAAAATATCCATTCCAACGCAAAAGAAGCGCTCCAGAAGGTAGAAGGGCCACGCTGGCTTTGCCCATCAACGTGGCATCAACGTGGGTGGTTTGAAGGTACAAGTCCGGAATTGGACTTCAGAATAGAAGGAAGTTCAAAATTGTTGATCCTAATGAAGGGAGGATCGACAATTCTAAATACACCGAAGACAACTCAACGTAAATCTGAACACAAGAAAATCCCCGTTGAAAGTATTTCTGAAGCCCTAAGTGAGACACTGCTTACAGCGGCAGCTTACAGATTCTGCATTAGCGAGTCGACTACTCGCTTGCAAGCTGGACCCCGGACCTACGGAGATTTCACGTGGGCAGCGATTTTGGCACTGCCCAGCGGTAGCGCGAATAATTCACTCACGGTTGAAGGCAGTGTGCCAATATTATCGGCACCTTTCTTTGTAGCCTATTTTCTGTTGCCAGAGTACCGTAAAGGTCATGCTTGAGCATGACCTGCTGTGATATGTGTATCTTTATTGCCCAGACATTGTCGAGTAACTGTGCCACGCCTATTTATGTTAGCATTCTACCACTGCACTAACACGTGCACGTCGTCTGACTCAATAAAGCTTAAATGCTTACGTGTTCTATATAACACAAATCAAGAGGCGCTATTACGCCTCAGGCTACAATAAAGCCTACGAACCACCGACACATATGGTGCATCGGCCAAATAAGACCGATTAAGTGCTTCGCTTCCGACAGCAGCACTCGAGGAACGATGAAGATCTCGCGCTTTCTCAAACAACAACTAAAAGTCTCTACCAAGGAGCTCGCGGAACAACTAGAGAAGTACGCATGCCACGGTGAGAAAATTACTATTCCAGAGGGCAGTCAAAAGCGGCAAGATGTATGCGCTCAACATCTGGAATCACTAGCGGGGTGCAAAATGGAAATTGAAGATGCCATTGAATCCCTACAAATGGATTACGACATATTGATGGAAAGATGTGAGGAGGTTGAATCCGAAGCTGTGAAGAAATTAATGGCGGAGGAATGGGACGCGTTGGAGGAAGAGATAAGATTTTTTGAAACCATTTTTGACGCTAGAAGGTTTCTATATCTTTTGCAAGACCGCATGGCAGATGATATGTTAGAATTAGCGAAAACAGGGAGCTTGAAGAAATTTTCGGGCCCAAAGCTCATGAGTTGCATGGAAGATTCAAATAGGCGTATGAGGCAGCTAAGAGAAGATATACAAAAGGCGAACTCATCTAACGGTGACTCGCACTCCATCCAAGACAAACAGCAGCAGAGTCCCGAAGAAACACAAATTCTCGCGTTGGAAGAAAAGAAGGATGAAATCCAGGAAATGATATCCAAAGAAGACTCCTTTGGATTGGGACAGAGAACGAGAACTGACAACGATCGATGCTCTGTGGAGTACAAGTCCTTTCCCACTACTGATACTCTTTTGCAGGGGCAGGTCATGGCGCCTACGGTGCCACGAGTAGAGTTTGCGACAGCTGGTTTCAAAGCTGCTCTTCCACTATCTACAGCCTTTCGCTATCGCCTCTGGTCAAGAATTCTGAGCATCCACTCTGCAGACGTGACTCGTTCTACTCACCAAACCCCGCTACTGGATCCGGATAAATGGAAGCAGTTTGATAGTAGACTAGATTTCTGATTTGTATCCATCCTTCTACATTGCTTGTTCTCATGGCCGGCCGGAGTGTGCCAATATTATCGGCACCTTTCTTTGTAGCCTATTTTCTGTTGCCAGAGTACCGTAAAGGTCATGCTTGAGCATGACCTGCTGTGATATGTGTATCTTTATTGCCCAGACATTGTCGAGTAACTGTGCCACGCCTATTTATGTTAGCATTCTACCACTGCACTAACACGTGCACGTCGTCTGACTCAATAAAGCTTAAATGCTTACGTGTTCTATATAACACAAATCAAGAGGCGCTATTACGCCTCAGGCTACAATAAAGCCTACGAACCACCGACACAGGCAGTGTCCGGGCAAAAACTCGATTTTGAGATTTTGTGCTTATACAGGAACGGCCATAGATTGTCGGTGTTGTCGGCGTTGTCAGTGTTGTCAGTGTTGTCGGTGTTGTCGGTGTTGTCGGTGTTGTCGGGGTTGCCGAGGTTGCCCGGTCGTTGTAGGACCTCATGATAGCCTCCACGTTTCGCGCGCTCTCTAAACTATCTCTGACTCCGACAACTCCGACAACACCGACAACATCGACAACACCGACAACACCGACAACACTGACAACACCGACAACACTGGCAACACTGACAACAACGGCAACATCGACAACACCGACAACATCGACAGCACCGACAACCTATGGCCGTTCTCTACGGCTTATTCGCCACGCCGAATCCGAAAATCCACACTGGAAAGCGGAAAACGGCAAAAAAGGCTCTAGCGCAGGAGGGAAAAGCAAGTGGGCCGGGTCCTCCCTCCTACGAATCCAGGCTCCCAGCTTCCGGAGTGGTCTTGTCGATTCCGCCAGCCGTCCTAACGTCGCTACCGGCCAGTGTTAATGATTGACTTGAAACCGCAAGGAGAAGACCGCTCCAGACCCTCATCTGTTAAAGGCACCGTCCACCCTAAGTTGAGAGTGTTGAGCTTTTGGCAGCATATGATAGCAGGGCCCCCTGTCAATCCAGTGCCCAGGTCACGGCGCGCGGTCAAGCGAGAAAATCGCTTCGGAATAGCGAACATGCACGAGGACCCCCATCCATGCCCGCCCTTCCCCATCCATGCCCGCCCTTTGTGCGCGCTTGTCCAATCACCGTTCTGGAAAGCCGGTTTGTGGGTTTTCCGGAATGGGGATTGTCGGGGTTTTCGCGCATTCTCGACTTCAAATTCGGAATCAGGGACATGAGAAGGCCCTGAAACGACAAAAAGTGAAAGTCGAAATCTGGGTGGACGGTGCCTTGAAAGCCGTTTCCGCCGTTTTCGCACTCTCCAATGTGCACTTTGGATTCAGCGTAGCGAATAGGCCCGGGTAAGCACAAAATCTCAAAATCGAGTTTTTGCCCGGAC